ATTGACGAAATCCTGAAGGGCGTTAAAAACTAAGTGATTATTTAGAGACAGCAAGTGCATCAAATTATAGGGTAGAGCTATTTTATTTTTTCATTCAGTAAGTGACGTTGTGCCTGATATTTTTCACAGTTGAAAAACTATGATCCAGATCACATATCTCATTGCAAATGTCGCAAAAATTAGAATCCACAATTCCTATTTTGTGAAGATGTTGGGGGTAGCAAGGTGACCAAACTTTAATCGAGCAATAGTTACTATGCCTCTACGATTTAGGTTGCAATTTTTGTGTTATATTTCATTAGGGAGTGTAGGGTGTATTAGAGTGTAGCGGGTAGTAGAGCTTTTACAGTATTATGCCCATGTTTCGTTCTATTTTTTAATTTTATTTTTGGACTGATTTATACATTCATTGATAGCAATTTCCTTTTCCATTGGTTGGCCTATGGAAATGCTTTTTATTGGTAATTTATCAACTTTTTCGTTGGATTGAAGTCCTATATGCGTCTTGGTCCAATTAAAGTGAATATTATATTCTGTTTTCTTTAGTCTATAGGTATTTAATTTTAATTCTTTGATAACTGGATTTAAGTATGGTGAAATTATGTCTATCGGATGAGATAAAATTTGAAGTACGGAGAGCGTATCTGATACTATGACTACTTTTTTTATCGCTTGCTCTTCTATGATTGCCAGTGCTTCGGTGGAAAATATTCAGGTGGACTTGTTGAGTTTAAAATGGGCTTTTACATTTAGTGATGGAATAAAAAATGCCCAGCCTGAACCATCAGGTGGTTTAGAAGCATCGGTATAAATAATTGTATGCTTAAGATACTTATTTAAGATATTCTAAATATTTTGACTTTTTTTTTTTTTTTTGTAATGGGATGGCATCAGACATGCAAGTCTATTTACCACAGAAAGTTTTAACTTAATAATTTTTGTATATATTATGTTAAATATCTATTTTAGTATTTTGAGTAAATTTAATAATAGCGTCAAAAATTATCTTATCTGATTGAACTAAAAGTGAAGAAATATTGAGTGGAAGTGGGAGTGAAAGTTTATTTATTCAACAAAGGCAGGTACTACTATTTTATATGGTTCTAAGGCATAAAAGAAATCTGCAGTTTCGCTTAATCTCGATTTTCTTATCATTAAACAGGTATTAGTTGTATTTTTAAACGCGTAGCATGAAGTAGGAGAAAGTTCTTTCCCAATACTTGATTGTAGGGTCAAAATTATTTAATTGTACTCTTACGTGTAATATTTGCTTTTTTAATCGAGTTTTGAATTATATACTTTTTAGCGAGGTATTCTCTCCGTAACTCAAGTAGTGGCTCTAGAGCATCTGAGCGTTGGGGTTCAGGGGTTGAGCACATTGCGCCAAGGCTGAGTCTTAGTGCTGAGTTTTGGACGATTTCAACCTTTTTCAAAGTATGCGGACTAGCCGAACCATTGAAGATGCATCCATAGTCAATAATGGATCGAAAGTATGCATTATAAAACATTAAGCATGTTTAGACCTTTATCGCATTTTGTAACCATTTTGTTAATGAAGGATTTCTTGTCTAGAATGATGCCGAGGTAAGTTGAAGTAGAAGAAACAGGATATGTAATATTATGTCGGGTAAAAAAAGTTGTGTTGGATTTTTCAGGTGACAGGGTAACTCCCAATAAGTCAAAATTTTACGTCACTAAGGAGATAGAAGATTTAAGTGACGTTATACAGTTTTGAAATTGCTTGGTCGTCTTATATAATACGAAATCATATTGCAATTTATATCCTTGTGTAGGCTTTTAGTAAATATATTGAACAAAATAGGGGAAAGTATAGAACATTGGGGCAATCCAGTGGACACTTGTCGGGGTCCGATTAGTAAGGTATTAGTTTGTCTAACAGATACTTTTCTATCGATAAGTAGCTTACACAGAAGATTCGCATTTTGTTTTAGGGTATATTTTTGTTTTGCAAAAACTATGTGGGAAACTAACTTTCATATGTATCCGAAAATGATCGGAACCTTGTGTATCATTGACGATGACCCAGCAGATTTTATTTCAATGTGTGGGAACGCAAATGTTAAATTAACTATTGAATTTTGATTATTTTTTGATATTTTAGTTGGAAATCCGTCATTAGTTTGATTTATAACATTTACAGTATTTGTACCGCTAGCATTGGTCTTATATGAGCCCCACAGGTCTTGATGCGCGTTGAAATCTCCCCTAATTATTGTAGCATCCTGAATATTGTTAAATAAATTTATAAAATAATGTGATCTTATTGATACGTCTGGCGGGCAATAAATTGAAATAAAGTTGATAGTCGAATTATCATTGTAAATTTAAACGGCGCAAGTTTGCATACCTTGAACAATGTTGTTCGTTGAAGTGGAGATTATTTCTAATTAATATGGCGACACCTGTTGTGCCATCGCGTCTGTCTTTACGGGCTATAGAATAACCGTGGATATTATAATTACTGTTAGGTTTAAACCAGGTTTCAAAAAGTAAAGAAACATCAATTTCGCTATCAGAGATTATTTTTATTGGATACAAAAGAATGTGCGTTCCACCGTAAGATATTTAGATTACTAATATTCGTCAAGGTCATCATCTATCCTAATATGATCGTCACTAATATCAGTTTGTAGGAAAGCTAGATGTTTTATGTACATAGTGTCTATATAGGAAAGCTCTTCAAAAGTTTTAACACTGTTGATTATTTTGTGGAAAAGTGAAAGAAAATATATTGAAAATTCTTCTGTTTTAGGTTCGGGATCTGTCCTTAAAGGCAATTCAATAGGTTTTTTGGGTCCGAATCTAAAAGGAAACAAAGGCGGTGGTGCATTTAAGTCACTCAATAGTGATGTAGATTTTTGCTTTTTTGAAAATTTTCAGTTTGGGTTAGGTGTCGTGTATTTGTATAGATAGTAGGTTGCGAAATTTGTAGTCTATTCGCATAATTTCGAGTGGATCTGAGGTAGAGGGGGAAACTCTTTGTCAGAATATACATCTAATACTTGGTATCTATTGTTTGATCTGAGAATATTAGAATAGGTGTTTTTGCTTCTAGGAACGTTACATTTTCCTTTGCCATTTTTTTATTTCTTCTTGATTTTTATAAACTAGACAATTTCTGGATATAGACTTATGAAAGTTAGTTTTACAACATATGCAACAGTTGTCTTGAGGATCGCGGCATATATGTGTTTCATCTTTGTTTTTACCGCATTTTGAATATAATAGGGTTATGCTCCGGCATTTTTTTGCTATATGACCATATCTGAGACATTTGTGTATATAAGGTTCGACTGAGCAAGCCACTAAATTGATAAATATTATAAAAGAGATCATTTTGCCTTCAAAAGTACCACTAATAGTATGTCTCGGTACATAGTTCACCATTACTCGCTACTTTTCGTTTGACTGTGTATATAATATTTATAGTAATTGGAGATAAAAAATTAGTAAATAGATATTTTTCATCAAAAATGGTATCAAAGTGCTTGATTATACCTTTTCTAAAAAGCAAATTATTTGGAATATACGCCTTTAAATTTTCTTTCTTTTTAAACCAATTTATTAGCATCTTATGCTACTCAGTTTCACCCTGATTCTGTTTTTGTCCACCCTATTAATTTTTTTAATATTTAGGATGTTTAATTTTTTATGTAAAATATGACCTTTAGCCATGGGATGTAATTTGCCAATCTTTTGGTCATTGACTTGTTCAAGAATACATACTCGAAGTCCTTATAAGCATTGGATTTTTGTAGATTAAAGATCTTACTTTTTTGCTCTACGTTATCAGGTGTATCGGGTATCGGTATCTACATAAAGGCTGTATGTTACGATACTAAATTAAGTACTAAATTTAGAACTAAATAAATGCATTTTTTAAGTACTAAAAAAATTCTCCTGCAAACAGCAAATTTAGTACTAAAAAAATTAATTAATTAATTAATAAAAGTGCGTCGAAATGTTGCGCAGAAGTTTTTAACAGAAAAAGTTGACACGACGGTATTTTCTGTACTATTTTGTTTTTAATTAGCGACAATTTTGCATTGTCGCCTTGAATAAAGTTCGCTTGGTTTTTTGTAGGTTTTATTGTGTTCTTTTGTGGCTTTTAGTAGTATATTGCTGGGGTGCGTTTCGAAACCTCGCACAGCGCGTCTGGACCCATTCTAATGTATGTGGTCAGACGCGTCGTGTAAGGTTTCTAAATGTCCTCCTGTATTTGGTTGTTGTCAAGTCAACTAGTGTGAAATTGATAATAAAAAACCATTTACGTCACTTGTCTATTTTACGCAGAATATTTCATTTCTTTGCTAATTTCTGGTATTAATACGTCAATGCGCGTGCGCCTACAGTTAATTTAGTACTAAAAATTGGTATCGTTGCAAACGAAAAAAAATTATTTTTAGTTCTAAATTTAGTACTAAATTAATGACTTAATTTAGTGCTAAATTTAGTTCTTAATTTAGTATCGTGACATACAGCCTTTTTAGTTTTATTAACAAGGTCATCGCTCGCTTGTTGAAGATTTTGCGAGGGATTAGTTGAATCAAACTAAGCGTCTGTCGGGTAGGGAGGGGGGGTAGGGAGTTGGTTTCCATGTTCACCAATTCACTGTAATTATTTTATTACTATATAAAATATTACTTGAAAACAAAGAGTTTGTGGTCAAATATTTCTCGATACGAGAAGAGACCAATGACACGTGTATATCGATCGGTGTAAAGAAGTGTACTGTGAGATAAGGTTGAGAACGCCATTATAAAAAGCAATAAAGTAGCAATTTAAGAGATTATTAAAACGAAGTAAGTCACAAAAAAGGAAATTATACGAATATTACATGTGGCGACCAAAAAATTACGATGATTACATCTACTTAAATTAATATTCATCCTTTCTGTTTTTTCAGTTTTTTCTGCTTTTTTACTTCCTTCCATTTTTTTATTTCCTTCATTTTATTGTAAAAAATTAATTAATTTCAGGTGAAATTGGGAGAAACTAGCAGGCACACATTCTTTGTGGTTAATAGAACTCCAACACCGTTAGATACAAAGCTGTTCTTGTCCCAAGATTTTCCAGTTGAAAAGAAGGAATTTGAACAATTAAAACCAGAAATAACTGTTAATGTACCGTTCTCTACGTAGGTTCATAAAAAATTACATCTTCTTCTTAATTTTTCTACTGGTCTACATTGTTTTCTGACTCCTGTTGTTGCTTTGTGACTTTCTGTCTTTCGCCAACTTTGTGGTTTTATCTTGACTCATTCTATCAACTTGATCTCTGCATGTTCTGCTTCTAGATTGTTTCCAACTATGTCTTCTGTTTTCGGTTCTTCTCTTACAACGCTGCTTTTTATTTGGTCACCCAATTTTACTTCTATGTTGGCGGTCAACGTTTTTATTTTTATGATTTTTATCAACCTCTTTCTATTGAAAGCATCTGCAGCTGTTTTAGTAGATCATGTCTAACCCAAATTTTATACAATGCCATACATTATTGATTGAAGTCTGTGTGTCATTCTTATTAGCCATATAAATGAATACAGGATAGAACTATCACATATTGTAGATGTCTATTTGCTATTGCCATATCATGCGCTGCCCTCTGAGTATCTATATTTGTTTGCAGTATTATTATTTTCTCCTCCATTTGGTGCATACGTTATAATTATCACTATGAGTAAAATATTAAGTTTACACTTTATCCAATTCATGTGGATAGTGTAACTAGCCAATAATACCGGTTAATTTCTGTACTTTTCTTGTGGTTTACACTTTGGCCATAAATCTTGTATAGTTTGTAAACCAGCTGAATAAAATACAAACCAACCAATATCCATAGCTGTTAGTAAGTTTTTATTAAAATGGCTAAACATTTGGATAGTTTGTATAATATTTAGCTAGTCTATAAACTAGCCAAGTAAACACTTTAACCGTAACAGATATATGAATTGGGTCCACTCGACTTATTCTGATTTCTACAATACGTGGTACCTCTATATTTCAGCAATTTTGGACTCCTTGGATATTATTACATTCTCAAAATCTTAGATATTTTTTCTTTATTTCTATTACATTTATATTATTCGATATTACTGAATGAAGATAACAAAACTTCATCATCCGTTCTACTCGTATTATAATGTCTTCAAAATTACCAGTTATTTGAAACAATCTACCACTGAGTTTGTTTGTTTATTGGATAAATACGTAAATCATTTCTCATAAAATTTGTTAAAATTTAAAATAGGAGGCATAGGTAAGGCATAATAAATATGAAGACTATATCGTAAAAAAATATTAAGGTACCATTTCGGTAGGCGCGACAGACGATAACAGACGCTAACAGACGCGACTGAACACGTCTGGAACACATGCATTTATATGAAACACATTTCGCACTTCCGAAAGACAGATCTCAACGACAGGTAGGTCGGTCTCGGAGTATCGTTTGCTGTCTGTCTCCCTACGTCATCGCTTGTATTTGAAGGCGATTGGTCGATATTTTATAAAAATGGTAGTTACATTCTTTCGATCTGGACAGTGTTGCCAGATGAACATGTGCCGAAACAGTATGGGTAAAAAGAAAAACCGTAGATCTGAACAGTAGATTTAAATACAGAAAGAAATAATTATAATTTGCAATGTAGTAAATAAAAAAAAAACAAGTATATAAGAAACGAAAAATAAACATTTTTCTACCCAAATTAGAAAGTAAACAAAGAACAGAAACAAATAATAACATTTTTAATATATATTTAGAACAGGGACAAAAACAGTGGATCTACTTAAAAACAGTAGGTCTGGCAACGCTGATCGTTCCCTCGAATGGTTGTCTGCGGGTATCCTGATGCCTGTCTCCTTGCTTCCCAAATGTACCGATTGTAACTTTAATGCCTCTGTCGTCCCTGGGGTCGCCTCTATGGTCTCCTGTCGCGCCTACCGAAATAGTACCTTTAGAGATTTCAATTAGTATTCAAACTCTTTTACCGTTCAATATTGTTTTTAGATCGAAGCTGGCCAAAACCCAAACACAAGGAAAAATAACAGGCAAAAAGAAGAAGGAAGAAAAATTAAATACTACTAAAACAAGCATCACAAAAGATGAAGAAACGTACGTATATATATTTTATAAATAATGCTTTTCTTTTTCTTATTTACAATATTGGGTTATAATCATGATGAATGACATTATTCTCTTATTATATTTCTTATACTCGTCCAAATAAATATTACACATGCAGTACCATTATTACACTTTAACGAGCACAATTTTAAAGAGTGAATCAAACAAATAGATAAAAAACATCCTCTTTTCAACCGCTACGTTACATGCCTCGACCCTACGTATTTATTTCATTACATTATTGTGCCCTCTCGATTAAACTTAAAAACGGGTTAATAATAGTAGTGATGAAAATGATCGTTTGAACAGAAAAAAGAAGCGTTTAATGAGAAAATTATAACGCATAAACCAAATACGTCGAAAACATTTAAGTCTGTTAAGTGATACTGATACCGACTATGTGAACAGTCATTGCTAAAAATGGTAAAGTTAAAATTAAACTATTACCTAACAGTTCTAAGAGACAAAACTGTTTAGTCTCGTAAAATAAATAGCTAAAATTGTTAGAGCTAGTTTATATTTAATATTATAAAATGGAAAATAATATTTTCCCTTTTTAATCATTTAATCAAAGTTTTCTACAAAAAAGTTGAAATCATTCAAGTTTTTAAGTTATACTGATACCAACAGTGTGCACAGTCATCGCTAAAAATGATAAAGCTAAAAAGAAAACTAGTACCTAATAGTTTTAAGACACAAAACTGTTAAGTGTCATAAAATAAATAGCTAAAATTGTTAAAGCTTGTTTATATTTAATATTATAAAATGGTAAGAAATATTTTCCTTTTGGAGGTAAAAGTAAAATTAGTGCCTGATTCACAAATTGAAGTTCATAATGAAATGCGAAAAATTATATACCAGCTGATGTGCCACAAGACGCTGTAATATTTCAATAGGGAGAATTGTCACAGGAGTATTTGCTGCTTTTTAAGAAGAACCTGCGGAAAATTTTCCCCTATGGGGTACAATCAGTTATTGCATCATACAGGAATAAAATGACTAAAGATATTTGGATGTAGTAAATTTTTTATTTATTTAAAATATATTATCTTCCAGAGAAAATTGACAAGCAATATTGATATCCTCTATTTCTATACCTCTGTGTAAAGAATAAAAGAATTTTTACACCAAATAAAACCATATTATTATCTGCCTTTAGGATCCCCTATCCTTTGCGGAAGAATCTTTCATTAGTAGCCGGGAAATTATACCAAAATGTTCTGACGTAGCCATACCAATTATGATTAAATCTTTGAGCAAATTTACGCTCAAACAATACAGTGGTACATGGTGATACAGAAAATGTTTGAATAAGGATAATTTCCTGACCGTAGTAGAATTTAATATAAATAAAAAGTTCCTTGGTTTTATCGGTCAATATTTTTTTTATAATTTAAGCACTACATATGTTTCGGATTTGTCCATCTTCTGACGCAGTAAATTTTATTTATAAAAATATGGAGGACGAATACAAACAATTTAAAAAAAATTAAAATAATATAAACCCCATATTTCTATTTCATAGCGTGCGAAGGTGTATTCGAAATAATAATTTGGTTTACCACGATAAAATATGGATAAAGTAGGGAAACAAAAAGATGCATTTTTACAAAGTTAAAAATTATCAGTGGCGTTACTTTCCAATGCTGATTCCAAGAGAACAGTATAGGAACACGATGCTATTGAATAGACAGAAATATAATAATACGTCGCCTACTGCGAAACGCAATATCCCATCCTTTCCATCGAAAGGGTGTAGTTAAACGCAAAAGTTTCCAATACCAGAAAATATACCGTACCTTTAAAGTCCTCAACTCAATCCAGAAATTTTGGCGACAATTAGTGGCGATCAGAGAAACAAGGATAATTTTCAAAAGCGGTTGGAATACTTGTTGCTGCATGTCCTGCTGGTCTTTTGTCTAAAAAATGTCCATGATGGACACTATTAAAATGACTAACTTATAATAAATTATTATAATTCTAATTGTATAATTTAATTATTTACAACTAGGGTTTAATTAAAATAAATCAATTAAGTCCGTATTTATAAACAGAACTTACCTGAGTCGGACTTGAGTAAGTCGTCCTTGAACTAAAATCGAAGTTCGGTTACAACGTCTAGGTGGTTCTGGTGTTAGACTGGAATTTAGAGATGGATATTAGCAAATCTGTAACTGTCATGTACTTTTACGGATTTGTTAATACCATCTTTAAATTCACGCGATATAGCCGAACTTCGATTTTCGTTCAAGGACGACTTACCCAAGTCCGACTTATCTGAACTTTGTTTATAAATACGGACCTTAATTGTCCTCTCCTCTTCGCTTCTGTTGACAAGAAGAAAAGAAAAAGAAAGAGGTTAAGAACAAGAAAACACAGCCCACATCACGGGTGTAGTTAGGGGCAAAAATCCGTTAGGTTCGCTAGTGTCGTTACGGCAGAAAATTGTGGCAATATTTTTACCTGTCAGAAGAAGTGCAATCGTAAAAATAGGTTTTCTATTGTAAAAATTCGAATTTGAAAAATGAAAAATGAGAAAACTATCGGAAGAAGTAAAGATAAAAAAAGAATGGTCAACAAATAAGTTTATTGTGATTGATGGTTTCTTAAGTGTTTTTTTTTTAAACAAACTACTAATAAATACTCTGATGTGTGCGTTTATACGATCAAAAAAGTGTTCCAAGATTTAATAAATATGCTCCAATTAAGTTACAAGTTACTACTAGATAAATGAAATGGGGTTTATATAAAAAAACAGCTGATTTTGTTTTGTGTTCAATATTTTAGCAAATATTATCTTTGGCTTGGGCAAAAGCAACAATACAGTGGGTTACTGATTATAAAATGAAGAAGTGGTACAAAAGAAATACCTATGTATATGAAATTTATATCATGAACAGATTACATAATATGGTCCAAGTCATAACATTATTAGTACCAAGGAGAACGGATAAATAATACGAAATATTATTTATATAGTAAAACTTTATGCTAATAATTCTTTTTATTACAGTAAAGACAAAGTTGAATAACCTATTTACAGAACCTACAGAATCATTTAAAACGTAATCATTAAAAATATTTACTTGAAAAATAACGTTTCCTAGTAGATTTCTTAGCACTTTTTCACGGATAACATAATTTGCATTAAAATGTTTTTCACAAATGTTTATTTTCGTACCACCAATAAATAATTTACACCATATATTCTGTATAACTGTTTTTTGGCATTATAATCACAATTAAAAACAGAACAACGATTCACCATGATTTATTTTAAGATTTAAAAAAATATTTATCTGTCAACACTTTTCAAATTGCAGCTCCTTTATTTAGTTTCTCGCTGGATAGACACTAGCGAACCTAGCGGATTTTGACTAGGAAGTACGCCAGGTTTTATCCACCGTTTTTATTTGTTTTTTAATGAGAGTTGGTGCACATCATGTAGCCCACAAATATAGTTTATCTGGTAAGAAAATAAGTATAATTAACAATAAATTATTTAAAAATCCAAAAATTAAGAAGCAATCGTTTGTCTTCACTTAACTTCATTTAATAATAATTCCGAATTATCTATACCTACGGTGTTTTCCTCATTTACTTTAACAAATTTTTCGAACGATTTTAATGACTATTAAGTTAGATCGTTTTCTAACGAGTCTTTCAATCTGTCATTTTGGCGTTCCCTTAAGAGAAATATTTTAAATATTTAAACAGATTTTAAACTTTATAAATCGAATATGCAAGGAAGGAATAGAGTGAAGAACAAACTTACTACTGGCCCTTTTTCTTCCTTTTCCTGGTTGAGTTTTGGCTTTTCGCTTTTCGGTTCGTATGGCTATCGCTTTCGTTTTTCACCCGCTGGCGCGTATCCGGCTCGAAAGACCAATGGTTATTGCTATCGAATAAGTCGTAGATTTTTAAGGTATTTTTTATTTTAAAATACAAATGACAACGATAAATTCATTCATGACATTAAAAAAAAATCTATGGCAACTAAAAAAATATATGGTGATTTTTAACAGTTTTATTTCCAACATGTTACGCATCTGGTCAAATTGCATTGGTGTCAAAATGGAACAGGATTTCCTGCGACGTTACGAGTCCTCTCTTTATACCTAGTCTAAGAAATGGACAACATACGCTGTGTGCAATGTTAAATCTTCAGTCTCTTTAATCTAAGGTTTTAATTCATTAACCAAATCATTTCCTTACGTAAAGTCACTCGAATATATTCTATTGGCTGCGAAATGACGTTTACATACCAGAAGGGGATGACGTAATCGTTCTCCGAGATAGAATAAAGAGAAGATGCTATCACGATGTTAAAGTGACCTCATTACATTACATTTTTACGTCATATGTCAAACTCAAAATAGTGAAGCTAGTCAGTTTTGGTGAGAATAAATGCCATTTTTTGTAAATAGCTTCATTTAAATGATATAAAATTATTTTCATTTCGTCAGTCTTTAAATAATATAAAATTATTGACAAATAAATCAAAGTTCTACTCTTAGAGCATATAAGACTAGAGATATCATTCAATGTATTTTGTTATGTATAAGCGGGATCATCACTTCTGGCATGAGGGGAGAAGGGTAGGTACGCCATTCTCAATGGCGTACTGTTTGAAAGGGTTCGTATTTATGTTTACCATTTGTGTACATGTTTTACTGGAAATTACTATATGTTCGTTTAGGATTGAAAACTTTCTTTATTGTAGATATAGGTTTTGAAACTGTATGCTTTCGTGATCACATATTATTTTCGTTTAGTTCAAGTAGATCATTTAGAAACTGAAATATTTTTTATATAGAGTAAATAAAAGAAAAACGAAAACAGATAACAATAATTTATTTTTAGTAGTAATAATATTAAATGTACATGTTTTATAATAAAATTATTAATCAATGTAATTAAAACAAGAGATAATATAAAATATAGTAGGTACCTAACTATTCGTAATAGACATATTTATTAACTTTACA